ATTATAAATATATTTTAGTCATGCCTTAAAAGTTTAATTGAATTATTTATGGTATTCGTTATTGACGAAAAATCGATAAGTCTTGCAATACATCAAAACATCAATCATTCATCGCAAAATGAACTTTAAAAATATTCATTAAAGCCTCGAACATAACAGATATTAAAACATTTAATACACGTATAAATAATTCTATAAAATATAATAGATCGTACAACTAGCATTTATAGGTATTTAAAGTCAATTTATAATAAAATAATTCAATAATATTAAATATTTAAAGACCTCAAGGTATAATCGATGTATATTGAGAAATAAATTCATGAGTACTCGTATACTCTGTGTAAATAGAACATAATACTCGTATAAATAAAGTCGTTTAAAATAATGTTTTATCAACAGCATCATTACATGATACATAGTTGAAGAWTTAGGTGAGACGCGTAATACTTTCGAGTGATGGTATGTGCTATAATAATGATATCCATTTATCTTGTGTTAAATGTAAAGAATTTGTYGAAATTTCATATGACACAGGTTTTAGAACGTAAGCTACGTAGGAAAACACATTTAAATTCGATACAAAATTCAGATAACAGTGTGCTATCCAAGTGTAAAGAGAAAAGTATTCTGACATAATACATTCGTTCTTATTTCAAACTATCAAAACAACTGTCAGCTTAGCATATATTGTGTAAAATAAATAAATGGCTATCGCAATTCATTCAGCAAACGATATTCCAAAGAATCATTCATTCCTATATTAATATAAAAAATTATGTAGAAATTTTGAGAGTTTTTGTATGCTATACATATATTTGCCATCGAAATGTATATRTATTTTTTAAATTTTTAAATATCAAAATGATCATTAAAAAATGTTAAGACGTACAGTACATTAGTATCCAATAGATATATATCTTCTTAATGGGCTTTTTTTAATAATTCTAAACTAAACTAAGTTAAATGTGGTAACTTCGAAATATTTATAGGTATTTAAACGATACATACGTACATATACATTAAAATATTTATTATTTTGTAAAATTTACATCGTATTTAAAAGGTTTGGTTAGTATTTTTTTTTTTTACATAATGCGTCCAATATGCAACTAATCCTTTGGTTGAATATTCCCTCGAGTTCTATGGAAATGTTCAATTTAATGGGAATAAAGGGATATGGTAGTAAGGGTAAAACGATAGTCAGACTAAAATCAATAGCTTATTTCCACTTACGMAATGTATATGAATGTGCAAAATTGATCATTTTTTAGTAATAAAAAAACATATATTTCATCCGAACAATAGATGAGTATAATTAATGAATTTAACTGTCGATTTGACAACAAACCAATTCCATCATTCAATTATTTTGTTTGAACTTAAAACTGATCATTAAACCTAAATTCAAACAGAAGTTGTCAAAAGTCAAATGACAAAGTGTTCAACTGATGGGTGAATATTTGATTAAATTGTAACGAAGAACGTCGTATAGTCGTATAGGTACAATACAGTGATTTTAAATACTGTAATTTTTATAATTTCTCCAATATAATTGTAAATGTATAATGTTATTAAGTACTTATTAGAAAATTAAGGTAAATACAATGATTTCTTCATATAATGGCATATATAACGCCTATCAAAAAGTTAAAAAATATAGATACAAAATAATAAATTTAAATAGTTTTTGAAAAAATTAATTTAGTATTAGACATATATACCAAGACAACCCCTCTGTAGCCATTCCACAAACACGTATCGTATATCCGGTTGCTTAACTTAATAGATAGCAAAATCGAAGGCCGTTAGGAATAATATTGTCACCAGTGTACACTATGGGGACGCTATGGTTAGGCCGTCCTTAAATATATATAAATCCAACACTGGAGAATAAAATATTACAAACCAAAATACTAATAGGTATAATATAATACGTCTTAACTAATATTACCACGAATGATGATAAAACATTATAGGTAGGTAATTAATACAAAGTACAGGCAAATATTATTTTGTTTTCATCGATAATAAATAATAATTAATGTTATACAGCTTATAAAATATAGGTTTTAATAAATTTAACACGCGTTTCACTAAGGATTTTGAGTTTTAATCAAATCACCTGATAACAAACTTGTACCACAAAGATCTTTTTTACTATACAAAAAAAAAATTGATATATATTTAATGATTCTGTACTGCATTTAAACATATTCAATGTACAATTTAAACTGATTATATTTTGTAAACACAGTATATAGTTTCAACATAACACTGAGTTAATTTAATAACTTTACTTTGTTTAATGACTGTAAAAAAATTAATTTTTGTTCCATGAATAAACTACATAAAAACAACTTAAGTCTCAAATTTAAGCTTTCTGTATGATTTTGAATAGAACAATTTATTTTTGTTTGATAATAAGTAATTTTTTTATGATTTCATTCACAAACATATACAATCAATAATATGATTAGAAATATTTTAAATGTATAATGTATTACAATATACAAACATACATTAATACAGATTATATTATATTACACTATGATATCTACAATAATATATTCAATTTTAATCAAAATATTTAGTTAAATTTATAATATTTTTGACTAATTGCAAACATAATCATTTKATACTAGTTATTTCACTTGAATTATATTATGTGAACAGAATTCATTTCAAGAAAAATACACAACATCTATTAAACAAAGGAAAACGTGAAATGTTTTTTGTAGAAAATTAAAGCAACATGGAAAAACAGAAGTGTACGTATTATGCAAAATCGGCGCCGTCTAGTCCAGTAGGATATTTTTACGAAATAAATTTCCAAACACAAAGTTTTTTCTTCGTAGTGTATTTTCCTCTGAAATGTGAAAGATGGGTATGTAAAGTAACTCAGATTAATAGCAGTTGGTTGTTACTTTTACGTTGTACGACCCATGATAAACAACCAGGTCGAACGGTACCGAAGAGTGGTGTGTGGTATGGTTATTTGAATTGAGAGATTGGATAAACCTTTGTTCATAAATCTCTGAATTCCGTATACACATACGTAYATTGTATATTGTATATAATATTAGTGTATAACCTATATAAACTGTATACAATGTACAATTATATAAATTTWAAAAAAATACAAAATTTAACTAATGATAAGTTATATGATAAGATTGTGTTTGTGGATTTTCGATTGAGCTATTATGTACTATATTAATTGTATTGTTAATGCATTCGAAATATTTACCACATATACTACATATATATATAAATTATCTCAACTATTTTAAAATATACATTCACACTTAACTACTTAAGTTTATTTAGCAAAAATATAATTAAATCAAATTTTAAAAATTATTCAACAGTAAAAACAAAATAATAAAGCTAAATAGATAATTTATAGGCATGAACAATTTTCGTTTTTTTTTTTTATTATTATTATTATTTCCGAACGAAGAAAAATAATTTTTGCTCGGTAAAAAAACCTAAAAAATTGATACGAAGATATTATTAATGTAAATCAAAAAATAATTGGAATGAAAATGTTTTATGAGCGTATTATGATCAAATTTTTACGAAATTCGTCGAAATCACTAACATTTACAAATTATTTTGTAATTAAAATATATAAAATGTTTAATTTGTATACTTTTAACATAAAAATGTATTACAAGATTACTTATATTGTTAATAGTTCGTTGGATCCATAAAATCTAAAAAAAATTATAAGTACTATTTTTTTTTTATAGATTTTCTAATTTTAGATGAAATTAGTTATTTAAATGAAGAATAAAAATTCTAGTTATTTGTTGTAATTTAAAAATATTATTTATGAGTACTTAAAACTTTTCAAGTATATTATTATATATGATAAACACAACGACATTTTAAAATTTAATATTTTTAATGTTTCATGCATCAATAAATTCGATCTACCAACTACACTATAGTGTATTACCATGAGTAAAATAAATGACTTTAATAGAAACATAAAAATCATATTAAATCCTATATGTAGTAATATAGGCTGACATACCATCTTCGCTAAGAATTGATTTTCGTATGTGTAAACATTTTTATAAATTCTAATTTAATACGTCTACTACAGTGACTCACACAACACCAAATGTATAGCGGGATGGTTCCCACTTGCCTACCTTTATAAATGTAAATTTAGTAAACATATTACTAAAATTGATTGAGAATATTATGAATTAATATTTTATGTTAAAACATACATATTATATATGTAATATAAACAAACCATTACGGTTCTATTTTAAAATGTTTTCATTCCCATTATTAATCAGCATCGATTACGGAATAGACAATACATTTTCATAAAATACTATCAGCGCAATTAAAATATGCTAATCCAAAAGCTAAGTGCTAATGACAATATAACTACCAAACAATATTGTTTCGCATAAAGTAACTCATCTTCGTTATTAGAAGACATTTTAGAATTCTTTCGACCGAATATTGCTTTCGTGGAAACGTGCGTGTTATTTTTACTSTGGTGACTACTCATATCTTGTATATTATAATAAATATATAGCAGTTTCGTTAAAACTGATGATTCCTTCCCTATTTAATATTTATCATCTACCCGAAGCTAGTAATTACTATTTCTGTACATTATGACCCAGCCATTATACTGTATGATAACCGTAAACAGTATCTAATGGTGATAAAAGGGGCACACAGTTATAAATTATTTTCCTAATGCAGACTACCCTGCAAAGATCCAATGATTAATGGCCTCTAGAACATAGAAGTAGGCCTATCTATAACATATTAAAACAACCGACACAATTCATTTTTCATTTCGCAAAAAATGACGTTTATATTAAAAATGTGTAAATGAAAAAAAAAAACCAGGCAGGTATTAGGTTACACTTACCTTATTAGCTTGGCAACTTGAGTGACCATAATCGTGAATATCACTAAATAAGTTATAAATATTTATATTAAATTGTTCGTGTAAAGGATACATTCGTAAGGATCCGTTTTTGGTGCCAATGGCCAATAACCGTTGTATGGGGTCAAATGCAAGTGCAGTTGGCTGGTACGGAAAACCATGACGAAATGTCTGTAAAAATCAAAACAAAATAAAATATAGTCTAATTAATGTTGTTTTTCTTTAATTATTTTTTGACACAATAAAACCATAGTGTTATATTGTATGAGCATGCTACATAAAATTAATGAATCAAGATTATTTACTAAACTTTATACAAATTAATCTGACACTTGATAATTAGTATTCTTTTCTATTTATCTGATAAATTTCATATCGGAGTATCAAACAATACAATACTTCATTGTTCRAGAACACGGATCAAATTATAATATTAATACCTACCAATATTATTATTTTTTTATACCTCATAATGTCTCTTAATATATATTTCTTAAAATGAGAAGGTATAGACTAGATATAGTAGAGTTTTCGTTTTGTCGATATTTTTATTTTTATAAATGATAATGCATCACGTAAATAACCTTAATATCTCTACCTATGAAATATCTTCTCAACYATAGTTACACAATAATATAAAATTAATATAAACACAYTAAATCTGTTAAAAACTATTATAAGTATATAATATATATAATCAAGAAAAGTGTGAATTCATAATTCACGAAGCCCAATTCTGAGTTTATTTAATTAAAATCTATAATTTAATCATTAAATAAACCACATTATGAAATTATTCTCTTCTAAAAATAAAATATTAGAAGATTTATCTGTTTAATGATGAACTGTAAATAAATAGGTGTCTATATAAAAAATGTATTGTTTTACATAATAGAACATTTAGATAGGTACTATATAGTCGATACTAGAATATTTATTACAATAATCACATACTTTATTAAATAATATATAAAACATAACAACTATCACATTTTAACTAGTSATTATTACACAGAAACTGATATAATAAATGTATGTAAGATTGAAACGTACCTAATAATTAATTATAAAATGTATTTATGATGTCACTGCAGTAGTTTTAACAATCGTGATAATTATTATTAACTATTATGATAAATTACTGAAAAAAAATGGATTAAAATAACATTATTTATTACACCACAATCCATCCAATATCTATACAACGCTGTGTCCGATCTACAGACTATTTCAAAGATGCGAGACAAGTTATAACAAATTATTTGTATAATTTTATATCGAACAAAATTAAAAATGCCAACGTTTAATGTACGTATAACGGTGAAAAACATTTGGCATGTGTACACAGTACACTACACATACATCGAAAGTTTGAAAAAATAAATAAAATAGATCCTATTACTATTTACATGAGGTGGCTGACCGCTTTGGGTACATATACGTGGAAACAATATAATAAACGAGTCACTTTAGTTACAAAGTCAATTTAAAAGCTCGGTATCCATGGACAATTCAAACGCTTACACTGCCATAATATTATATAGACGCAACGCCCTTGTCCACAAGAGATTCTTTGGCACTTGTCATATAATACCTTATCGTCAGCGATATATATATATATATTTATAGACGATTCGTACGTCGTAATCCGGGCGAGCTTGGAGGGTGTATCTATACACACAGAATGAAGCAATTAAGAGTCAAGTCCATTTTGTCCCACATAGTTAACACCACACGTGTACCTGCTTAAATATAATATATTATACGTACGTAATAGTGTAATAAGCATACACACTGGGCATTGCACATGCATCAAGTATCATTGCCATTTTTCAAATCATATATAGACCGGCCTCAAGACGAAGAGATAATAATAATAATAATAATAATAATAATATAATCCTATAGACGCAGTTTTTACGACCCATTAATAACTTTTCTGGAAAAACGCCGATATCGCGATAGTAAGAATGTGGAAGGGGCACCACAGCTACGCAGGGACCGTAGTATTCGGAAAAGTGGGCCGGTCGCTTAATCAGCGTTTACAATAAATCGACATTAAAAGTGCACACAGTGCAATATAATAATAAATAGCTCGCGCTGTTTATTATACATTATCTATAGGTATATACAGTACACACTTTTATTTCGTGTCAAACTTGTGATGGATTCTAAAATAACTGCAGGAGAATAGTAAAATGTCTAAAACAATGCTGTTTTGACTTTCCAAATTGATTTTTGACGAATGAATGAATGATATAATATTATATTATACGTCATATTATACCATGAATATGCGACACCGAACGTATAAATTATATGAACGTATATGAGATMATAGGACGTATTACCAGGATCAAAATAATAATATAAACTATGCAAACTTTGTACCTATGTAAAATTTACAATTTCTTAGGGAGTATGAAAATGTTTAAATACTAAATCATTTATTAAACAAATTGTGATACATGGTATAAAAATGAAAGACATCATTCCACACATTTAGTTTGCATAAACGTTTAATGTTTTTACTCTAGAATGTACACTGAAAATGACAAACGGTTTCTTTTATTCATGTATAAACGCTATAAAATATGCAACATTTATATTTATGATCGATGACTGTTTTGACCCAATGTTTAAAACGGTAAAATGATGAGATGAAAAATATGATCATACTATAATGGTTCCGTGGCCAGAACTCAAACATACAAAAATAAATCGAAAAACACACGGCCGAATAGGTTAGAAATACCACAAAATTACCCCTTCAGCCAGAGGAAAATATTATCATTTTAAAATCTAGTGATGAGTAAATTTATATACCGTTCACACACTTTCGGATTTTCCGTCATAAATAAAATTCAATTTAAAGTCCATGTCAGCCACGAAACAATAGACAATACTCGATATCAAATATAGACGTGAAAAAGTATCAACTAAAATCACATAATTTATATTCTAGTTAATATCCGTGTAATTTTTTGTTTATTAAATAATTATAATTTATAAATTACAACCAGCTACAATGCAATATATATATATATACCTAATAATACAATGTATTTAAAAAGATTTGTCGGGTTGTTGCTAAAGAAATTATTAATATTTTATGTCGTACCTACTTAATACAAGTACCATCAGAGAACAACAYATTTCGACATAATACTTTACTTTTTTACATAATACTACCTTATTCAATACTTACATGCATAACATTCTTATTGCCTCAACTTCAAAATATGAACTAATAAAATCGATTTATATACAATACTAAATTTTAGAATTACATGGTTCAATACACCACTTGATGTAAAAATTAAATTGTATACAAGAATGGTATACGTACTATAATGTACTATAATAAAAATAGTTATACATAAACTAATATATTATGTACGTTACCAGAACACTCGTGAAGTATGTCAACTAGATAGTTTAACGATACTTTGAAGTAAAGCTTACAAAGTTCACCGGAAAAAAATATTATAAGCTCCGACAACCCCGTCCCATTTTATGGAAAGGATTTTACTCTTACCGACGCGCGACGCATACAATTGAAAGTTCAATAATCATTCGCATTAAAAATATTTAAAGTTTTTCTTTATATTTCTAAAGTTGTTCAACACATTTATCACAGCCTGTAAATTCTTTACTGATAAAAGTGACATTATGTGATGTGATGTTTTTCCGCATCCTTTACTATCAATCTTAGTAGGATGCTGTAAAACTCACTTTTAAAATAAATAAAACTAAAAAGTTTCTTGCCTATTATCCTTTACTGACGACGCGTTGATACTCGATTGTCTTTARAAATTTCGTTCGTTGATTGACTATAAGATAAGCTATTTTTCTTCTAAAAAATAAAAAGACAGCCTTAAAAAATTGAACATCGGATACGTTTATAGTTGCTTGCAAATAATCAAAACGAAAAGAATTTGTAAGTAAACATTTTATAGACTGTAGGTAGGTACACCTAATATAGCAGCTGAAAACTAGACGCCAAAAATATATGTACAATAATATAGATACATCAATAAAATTACCTCGATTTGTTCACCAATCATTGATTAAGCGAACATAAATCATTATCAACAGCAAACAAAAATAAAAACAATTTTTAAAATACAAACCCCAGGTTATCAAATATTTGACATATTATACTAAGAAAAGGAAACCTGAGCTAGGTATTCAAGCGACTCCTTTTCAATTTCTGTAAATTATAAATCCAATATATTTGTAATCGTAAGAACAACAGCGTCGGATTCTCTATTCAGGTACGGCTAAAATGTCTGTACACAATATAATATTGTAAAAAAAGGTAAGTGACTACATCTAGGGTATTTCTGGGACCGGAAACCTTGAAACACTTTGTTCTACATTTGTATTTAACTATGGGTCATTAATTATTATTCACATTACTATAGTTCTATAGGTAGKTATAATTAATAGCTATATAATAAATAATAATAATGTTTATATATGTATATTGTATATTATTTATAATGTAAATTTAGTCTGGTCGGTATTTTGTGTATAATTATTTAGATGGGTACAGATCCGGGTAGTATATATAGCGTTTGGGGACAAGTTTGCTCTACTTTAATTACAAGTTTTTATAGCACATATATAACAATAACAATAACAGCAACAAAAATTAAAATCTCTCAATCAAATTCCATACAAATTCATGACTTACGCATTTAAAGAGTAACTCAATCATTGTGTCACTAATTATCGATACATATGTAAATAATAAAACATCTTCCAAAAATTAATTGCACAATATCTCAAAAAATAAAAAAAAAGATCATTAATTTTAATATAACTGTATATTGATATAAATATAAACTTTTACGGTTGGTATGGATTTCAAGTATTAATTAAAATTATTAATGATATCATTAATTATGCTTGAAAGATTAATATATGGAAGCCATAAATAATTAACTATCCAAAATGCATTAGAMACAAAAGTTTGTAAAAGTTTTGCGATGTTAAATAATATTATTTGTTTATGAAAAATTATTAAATTTAAGTGCATTTTTAACTGTTTCATCATGTACAATAAACCCATAAATATCGATAATGAAAACTTCATATAATCATGGCAAACATTCTATTGTATACTTTTTCCAATCAGTTGAATCAAATTGAATGTGCTTGCAATATAAAATAAAATATATAACTTGATTGAAATATTTTAATAGGTAACTTTTCTATTAAAATGAAACGTAAAGTTACAAAAAAATAATAACATTGTTATAAATGTAGAATTTCTAATTAATACTTATTATCTAATTACTCTTATAACACAACACATAATATTATTGAATTTTTTTTCATTGATTTGTATATGGCGTTCACTTTCAAAAACTGATATACAATTTTCTAAAACAAACAAGATTCTAAAAAGTATTTATTAATAGGAAGGTCATTGGTAGCAGTTACATATTTTACGTAGTACAATAATAAAGATCTGCGATGGTGTATTTCGCAATATCCGTTAGAATTTAGATGTATTGGTATTTCGGATCCAATTCCATCTGAAAGCAGAAAACGCTTGTCAGGAATAATAGGTCAGTCGGGTTTCATTTCAAAATGAATTTTCACTCTCAGAGTCGTATCTATTTTCATTTTCATTTACATCATTGTTTTTATTATTGTCTAACTTTTTTACTTTTTTTCTACCAACAGCCATATCGTTTTATATATTACCTATAGTGGACAACGACGTATATTTTGCTCCACACTTGCAATCCTTTAACGAATTATCGTCTAGTATAATTTTAATAAAAATTCATTCAAGGTTTTTAAATTGTTATACCATGTGTTAGATTTATTTTATGTAATAATATACAACAAGATATACTTATATTATATTACATATACAAATTATATAACGTGTGAGAACTGCTATTACGCATWGCATACACACCTAAACGAAAATCTGCCGTTTTATATAATAATATTATGCTGTTATACGACGCGGAAAAATGAACGTTTTCACTTAATACAGACATGAATATTCAATACATCATATTATAACAAATAATAAAATACATTAAAAGTTAAGGACCATTAAATCGTTATTATCAAATTCGCGCCTGACTACGTTTCGTTGAGTAGAAAATAAAAAACAACATAAACGTAGACGAAAAAAACGGTGAACGATAGCTTGCGATATGGTTAATAAACTTGGAGGAAACCTACATATGACTCAAAACGGATCGTTTTTCATCACTTGATACCCCAACGGAGCGATCCGTCGAGTACATTTTTCGATAGACGCTGTTCGCAAAAATCGGTCGACGAACCGACAAGTACACAGATCACTCGCGGTCACTCCGAAAACCGCAGCACCCGATAATTATATAGAGCCGTACTCATGTATTGTATCACCGAGAGTGGGTATGTACGTTTGCGCTGCTGTATATTCCCGTTTTCGTAAAAATCTTAGATCTGCACAGGAAGTCAGGAAAATGCGATGATTGCAACCCTCTTCGCATCAAACCTAAAAACTTAAGTTATCATGGGTGTTGGTAAAGGTTTGAAAAACAAATTTCAAATTTACTATTTTATTAATATTTATAARTAATTGCCCTCATTTCCAATGGGTACTAGTTTAATAAATCTATAACTTTCATAGTTCAGAATTATTTAATTTGAAAATTACGGTATATTCGTAAACTTCAATAATATAAACATTATAGTGTACAGATAATCAAAGCTTTTCCTATCCGAATCTTTTTTTTTTAGTGCTCGACAATTATAATAGTAGTGAAAAATTAATATTATCTCCTATAATACGCGAAAAATGTACGTAATCAATTTGTACGAACCTGCAGAAGTTAAAATTAAATGGCAATAAATAATATTATATATATATATATATATACATGATGAAGATATGCAAAATAAATAGTCACGCTGGACGAAGAAAAATGGCAGGAGTGCTGCAATTGAACATTCTCGTTTTAATGAGCGTATAATGTAATTTAGTATCGACGACTGTTCTATTGGGCGGTGGTGGCCCGTGAACATCTGAAATCCAATATCTATCGGAGCGGCGGTCCAATGAGAGGTGGAAATACTATACGATTTCCTGGGTAAAAAGGAACTTGTACGTGACTGTGATAGAGTGAGGATGGACGTAACTATATAGTATATATACTTACGAAATAAGTATAACACGCGTGTGTCCCTGTGTGTATACAAGATGATTCACGAAACAGTTCGCCCCTATTTTTCCCTTAAAAATTCTGATTTACGATAAGTATACCTAATAGGATCGTAATTTAAATTATTTTGATTTTTTTAAATACTATTTTAGGGTTGACCTGTGGTAATAAAAAACATATTTTTTTCAGTGTCAACCTTTTTCTATTGTAAAGTATTAAAAAGATGTTTTTTTTTAAACCTTTATATATTTAAGTCAAAATTCAAAGAATAATTTATGATTTATTAGAATTTAAATACTAAGGATGGTTTTACAAAATATAAAATAGAATAGTTTTATTGAAAATAACATTTATTATACACAGAAAATGTTCAAAAATTATCAAATGTTGATAGATTAATAATAAATTATACTATTTAGGTCTTCAAATGTTCGGACAAGACATCATCTGCTAAAAAATTTGAGGGAAAAAGTGGTTATAATTTGAAATAAAATAAAAATCGRTAACGTCACAAGGCATTCCTTATAGTAATTGATGTAGCTAATCTAAGTCTTTCAATAATTAATTCTAAATTTATTTCAAAGTTCCAAGAATCAGAATTTGAATAAGTTCATCATTAAAGGAAAAATTGGGTATGACCTACTGATTGGTGAATCGCACTTTATATCGCACCTATAACATAAGTAAATACTAAATATACCTAAGTATTTACGACAAATAGACACCGAAGAGATGAACGGTTGCGCCGCAACGTCACCTCTACGTGCCGCGGCGGTTCGTCGTCACGGTTGTCAAGAGCTTTGGCGGCGAAGTGAGAGTTGTGGAGGGTTCGTCTACGTGTGAGCGGAATGTGCACTGCACGGTCTCGGCTGTATTATACAATCGATGTATATATTATACAGAGCGGTGGGTCATCGCTTCACCAAGTCTAGTCTCTATCTTACAGTTTTCCCGCGTGTACAGCTGATACAGRAAAACTACGGYCCGCACTGTATATACGCGCACGCGTACACTTATTTATTTTACGCTGGCGAAGATCGTACACTATACGCACATCAACAGAATGGCACCGGTTCCGCTGGACAACAATCGCTTACTGTTTATTATGTGTGTAATGTTATATGTATAAATGGTGCGTGTGCCTATAGGTACACACGGCGCAGCGGACACCACTCGGAACAACGACGTCGCGTAATCCGACCGAACACAGTTGGTATAGCCAGAACAGAACGTCTATTTCCCGACGGAAACGTTAAACCTCCGATTTTATAAAAATGTAATTTTCATTAAACCGTCACAGCACAGGATGGACACGACAGCTGAATACACAACACTTTCGAAACTATAATATAATATATATATATATATAGCATATCATACGTATTATTGTTTCTAGGTTAGGTAAAATACTAGTAATGTGCACAACGACGAATATAGAATATCAACAGTTATCCCACCTACGATGTCATTAAAAGTAGATATTTCAAGACGCTTTTCAATTACAATACATATGTACTTAAATTTAAGCAATCCAAAAATATTTAAGAAAAAAATTTACAACATTTGCCAAATAAAGGGTCTAATCTGGTTGTTATTTTCAAAATAATGCCTCAAGTCRCTAAGATTATATTCTGATAAAATAAAAAAATAAATATCTATAACACTAAAATGTATTGTACAACTGTACAAATAAAACAATTTACCATATCAATATTTAATATATACGAGTATAATAYGGCTTTCATTATAAAAATATTATAAAAAATAAGACTGAAAAATATCAGTATGCCAAACAGTATTCAAAATCCTCACTTATTACTACCTACTAAAAAAATGCAGATTTTAAAATAAAAATATTGGTATCTCAACATTTAAAATATTGAAAATAATGAATATTTAATTATTTTCAATTACAAGTAGGTGTAATCACTGTATTAAAATAAATAATATCATTTGTAATTGGACAGCTCAATATGTAATTATGATTAAAATTATTTGTTTTTACTGAGTATACTAATAAMAAATCATTATTTATGTATTTTAAAATAAATGAATATTTCTCGCGTACAAATATTATGCTGTATATAACTTATTTTTCTTATATACACATMAATGATATAAATATATTGTTGCAAATTAATATATACGAAGAACTGAGGCTAAAAAATCTTTTGATTTATGATATTACTCAATCAACCCTTAGTCTCGGGATCACCGATTGTTTACCAAAAACYATTTCCATAGACATATTATACTACTACAGTACCACTCTTTGATTTAATTTATAAAAGCCGTTTTCAAAACCAAACGTTCTTTTTGATTTATTATTCTAGCTTTTGTGTATTTTGTTCTACGTGGCAATTACGCTATGCATAATACTTACTGGTTATAATAAACATACAAACTTTGTTGCTCTCCACAAAGTCTATACAGTCTACACCAGTCGCTATACTTTTCCCTATTATACTCACTTTACTCAGTTAAGAAGACAGTAAAATTGATGGATAAGCCAACGCCCACTCTGTGCACGTTGTGTATATCACTTAAGCCCTAAAAGTTAGACTATGTAAAAAAACAAAAGAGTACATATATATTGTATATTATGTATGCAAAATTATTTCCGAAAGCGAAAGGACGTAAACATATTTTGTTTTTAGAAAAATGTCCCTTAAATGTTTTAAATAGATGTGAAACGGATTCTACCAGGCTAAAGTATGCATAATTTAAATGAAACGTATAATATTTAATATACAAAATACATACATTATATATTATATCTTTCTACTTTCTGCACACAAAAGCTTACTAATAGTTGAAAAAATGTAAGTCAGTGGGCCGGATACAGCGACTGAGTGTTCACCCTTACCTTCACTAACATAAATTCTAAATATATATATACTCGAATATAAATACCTAATATTGGCACTATTACTATCAGATAATAATATAACGAATAAAACTGTTTTCAATTGTTTATACACATACTATTTTAATGTGCAAATATCCTACTTCGAGTGAATATTTGTAAAGTGTTACTATTCTGTTATATTTAAATAACACTTAGTGTGTATAATATAATATGTACAATGTACAATGTACTTAATACAATTTAAATTAGATGCAATTTAAATTCGTATAAAATCTTCAGTTTAGGTATATAAAATAATATTATGTTGGGAGTGTTGGGACTATTTAAAACATTTAAATCGTGAGTAGCTTAATTTAAGGGCATTCACCTAACTAACTCTGAAACCAATAMATTTTACATGGGAAATCCATTTTATGGATTCTAAAACAAGTATGGGTACACTTTGAATACGTGGACGGAATAAACTGTATTCCAGATTTAACTTGATCAAAGATATATTTAAATTATATATTATTTCCGTAAACTTTGCATGGTATAATGCTATTTTTATATAGGTAATTAATTACAAAATATTTTTTTGAAACCATGAAATTAACATTTTTAACCTTTGAATAAAATACTAAATTTTTTACTATAAAAAAGGACTCTTGA